GGTGGCTCTGATACCATGTTAGAATTCATGAGAGCATAGGGGAAAGAAGACAAGAGAACACAATATTTACGTGTTTCAAGCCGAAACCTTACATCCACGGATCCAAAGCCCAACTGGCTACATCTTCACTATTTTGGATGAATCTTTACATCAAAGAGTACCTCTATATATAGAGGATAATCGCACAATTACAGGATAAATACAGTATGATTCTTGGAGATAAGTAAATAGTAGGAGGCCCTATCACCAAAATAACTTGACATTTATCTTCTAGATACCTAATCTTATCAAGAGATATATACTCATACATCCATAATGATGTCTAGCAATATGAACCCGAAATATTCGAGATATCCATATCTTAACAGTATGTACGTACAAATATTGAATGGGTACATTATATATGAATTATTGAATGGATGTGGTTTGCATAAGGTTGCAACTTTAAACCATCAAAATAAGGTGCATCTCAAGACTTTGTTATGAGATTCAAATATGGTGCATCTGAAGACTTTGTTATGAGATATCCATATCTTAACAGTACGTATGTACAAATATTGAATGGGTGCATTATATATGAATTATTGAATGGATGTGGTTTGCATAAGGTTGCAACTTTAAACAATCAAAATAAAGTGCATCTCAAGACTTTGCTATGAGATTCAAATTTGGTGTCCAAATTTTGTAGGATGGTGGTAGAATCTAATTTTATCTCTAATTCTAAAATTTTAAAGCTCTAAAAATAGTTCAAATCAAATAGATCTTATGAACACATTAAAATCTGACGGTCTAGATAATGTGTTTCAAGATATACTATTTTTAGGAATTGAAATCTCTGTTTTTCTCCATATCTATCCATCTCAATGTCTAGTCGATTAATTAGATGTTTTTCCAACATCAAAACAACATTTTTCAAAGGATTTTAAAGGTAGATTTTAATTGTACATTTTAAAATGTCAACCTTACATAAACTTTTTCATTTATATATTATGGATATTTATGTGTAGAGGGTGGATACAAATTAAAATAGAAAATATATACAATGACATACAAGGAGGTTACAGTCATCATTGACCGTTAGATATGAAATTAGGTGGTTGAGGATGTGTCATTATTTAGACATAATGTTCAAAATAAAATTTCTCGAATGTTATGACACGTCTTCATCTATTAAATTTCACATACAATGGCTAAAAGTGATTTTGACTTCCTATTACCAAAAATAAATGGTCTCATGATATAAAATCCCATTAAAATAAGAACAAATATCTTTTTTTTCTTTCTTGGTAGTCTTCTTTACCGAGAAAAAAGGCTTTTCTTTGATTTGTCATAAAAACTTTTGATGCCATGGGGCACCTTCATGGCAATAGGTCCCTTGACGATTATTATAAAAAATAAGTCTTCAATAAAATAATATATCCTAAGGAAGCGAAATTCCTTGTGTAGAGATAGAGATAGTTGAAGACAGTTATTAATTTTAATTTATCTTGTATTTGATGTAGATATCTCTCCTGATAAGACTAGATTAGTCCGTCATTATCAATAACTAATTAGCCGTATATTTATACGAGACTTTATATATATACTTGACAATTAATCAGATATTTCTCTGGAGGATTCAAAATTTTTACATAGTATCAGAGCGATTCTTTGCGATCTTGTTTGGGCTCTCTGTGATCCATGCTTATATCTGACGCGTGGCGTGGCGCAACCTTTGCAAACCCTAGCAAAGCAAGTGCTAAGGCTAATGGAAAGAAGGCTAGTCATTGCCCTATGGTTTATCTCTCTAGATTTCTCTCTATCAATCTCCAACTCTGTAATCTCTCTCTTAATCTACTTCTTTTTCTATAGCGATCTCTGTCTCTTAATCTACTTCTTTTTCTATAGCGATCTCTCTCTCTCTCTCCGTGGCATTTGTTCCTCCTCCATCACCTAACCTATTCCCAACAGTCCCTCTATTTGACAGTCTCCACAACATAATTTTAACACCTTATCAAGTAAGTTCTGACCCGCATGATAGGCATAACGATTAGGGCATTGTCTCGGAGAGAGGCTAGATGAAATGGACATGTATGTGAAGATGCGGATTACGTTCACTTAGACAGAAAGACCCTATAAAGCTTTACTGTACCCTGGGATTGGCTTTGGGCCTGTCTTGCGCAGCTTAGGTGGAAGGTGAAGAAAGCCTCCTTCTGGGGGGCCCGACCCAGGCAAGCTTTCTATGCTTTTCCTATTTCGCCTCCTTCTGGGGCCCGACCCAGGCAAGCTTTCTATGCTTTTCCTACAATATAAAGCTTATATACTTCCCCTTATCCAACCGTCGATTCTGAATGGAGGGCTAAGATTGCTCCAATCACAATGTCACGTCTCTATACTATTTTATTTTTAATTTTTTTTCTACAAACTATTTTGACACCAAATTTTGGATGTCCATTCCTCTATTCAACTCGCACTAGCGAAAAGTATAAAAACACTATTTTCAATAAAATAAAATGACCAAAATATCCTTGAAAGTTTTAAGGGGTATTTTGGTCATTATATTTTATTGAAAAATTATTTTTAATCTTTTTTATAGGTGCGTCCCCATGAGAAGATGGCACGTGCCAAATTTTATATTCATACAATTTATAAAAAAAAAACTAAAAATAAAATGCTTTAAGACATCGGATATAAGATCAAACGGTGAGTGGCTCTCTTGATCAAAATTGGATGGCTGGATGGTAGGGGAAGCATAGATCTTCTCTGCTATAGGAGAAGTATATAAACCTTTCCCCATAATGTATAGGAATAGTTACCGAAATTCTATTAAAGAAAGAATACATGTGGATCATTTCGTACCATTGGAAACAAAAAAATAAATAAATAAAAAAAGCCGCCAAAACGATGGAAGTGGGTTTCAAAGTGAAAGATTCAAACCTTCAAATTTTGAAATCAATGAATTTTGTTTTCATTCTAGAACTTGAAAGTATGAAGTGGTGTTGTTTTGGGAAACATAAGTAAAGACAAAGAAAAAAAATAGTAAGAACTTAAAACATGAAAATTGAGAGGACCTTTATAATAAGAAATATTTAAGGATACATGAGCCTAAATTTGTAAAATATAAAATTTATTTGAAATTAATTTTTTATTAAAAATAAATAAAATCTCATATCTATTATCTCTTTAAAAAGGGAAAAAGACAACTTACTTTTCGTACAAAGAGGTTACAATCATTCTTGTCCTTTAAATTTCAAAATAAGTAGTTGTAAAAATGTCATTGAATAGACACAAAGTTTAAAAAAAAAATTCTCATACTTCATGACTGACCCCAAACCCTCCAATTTGACATCTAACGGGTGTAAATAGTTATGACGTCCTTGTAATGAAGATAAGGGCACAATTTATATGTGTCCATGTAGAAATGAACCACCTCTTAAAAATCTATTTTTGAGATGGATTTTGGATCTAATTTTTAAGGACATGTAATATCTAACATAGAGATCATGAATATGAATAAATAAATAAAATTTAAAGATTAAAAATATTAATTATATTAAGAAAATATTTGAACAGTTAGTTTCAATTGTTCTTAAATGGACCACTTATTTGCATCCATCTTTAAGATGGATCCTTTATATATTGGGACTGCAAATGTAGAAATGTGGTCCCCACTGCATGAAATAATTTTCTAAAGATAAATGGCCTCTTTGTAGACAGTGCTTTTAAAAATTTATGGGGATTTTATAATAGAAGTTATGGGGATTTTATAATAGAGTATGATTATGTAAGATGTCTACCTTAAACGATCAAAGGCGCACGTTCAAACCGCCAGGAGATGCAATTCTAGTGCTGGCAGCTTTTACAAAGGACTAGAAAAATATTTTGGGGAAATTTCAAAATACCCCTAAGGTGTTGACTATTTAACAATATGATTTGGAATTGGAATTGGAATAGTAAAAAGTTGTTAAATAGTGGATAAGGGAGGTATATTTTGATAAATTTCCTATATATTTTTATTCATATTTATGAAATTTAAAGCTCTAAAAATAGTGAGCATCCAAACGATATATAAACACTCCAGAATCGTGAAAATAGACAGTCAAGATAATATATTACAAGAAACACTATTTTTTATCTGAACAACAATGTTTATGATTCATTTGGGGTTGCAAAGGAACAAGCCAAGGCCCACCCAGCCCTACCCTTACCCCGACCCTAGCTTTGTAGGGTCAACCCGAGCCCAAACCAGGTTGATGAGGCCTTGGCCCTAGATGGGGTGAACCGGGCCAGCCCTCTCATAGCCTTGGCCCATGCCCAGCCCAACTCCATCCTTGTCCTTGGCCTATGGTTGCTCATTATTGGAATTAGCCCACTTCTCAGGTTATATTTTGTGCCTCAAGCCTTAGTTTTCTTAAGACAAGGTTGGGCCAATAACCTATTACGAGCTCTATTGTTCAATTGCGCTTAGGGGTGGTAACGGGTTGGGTACTGGACCCAAACCTAGACCCGAATAGTATTCAAGTCCAAAATTTAGACCTGTATTCAGACAAGTCAGATCTTAGGTTTAGTCGGATCCATTGTCACGTTATAACTATGAGCTATTTATTTATCTTTTTTCCTTTTTTATCATTATATACCTTATTATCTTGAGTTTTTTCATTTTTTTTCAATAATACTATAAATATTGCCAATCTTGTAACAATATAAACACCTAATGTGTACCGAAAGACTTATAATTGCCATTATATACCCTAGCAATATTGTAAATAATATGGACACCTAGCGTACGCTAACATATAATTGCCCTATTCCTACGGGTTAAGTCCGACTCGACTTGGGACCAAATAGCATTCGGGTCCAAAATTTGAACCCATATCAAGACCTACGGTTAAGTATACCCATATGGTGGCAGTTCCAGTTGGGTCCATTGCCCCCCACCCGAAACAACCCTACCCTACCCTACCCTGCCCTACTAATCAAGTCTGGCACGTCATTGGTAAGGGGTAGAAAATCTACAATTAATCATCTGTCAACGCCCATTGCGTAATGCCTGGCGCCCACCCGCTTAGTCGCGCTACTATTTAAGACACTCATGTCTCCTTTGTCTTGACCTTACTCCCTCTCTTTCTCCTCCTAATCACAATCAAACTTTCATTTTCTCTGCATATATTGTCCATTAATCTCTCTCTGCAGTACTTTGTTTTGGTTCAGGTAATTTTCTGTTATTCCAACCATTTTTCTTCTCATCTCTTTCTCTCTGATCTGTTTCTCTGTCTATATGAAGTAGCCTCATGGGGAAATCAAAATGGTCCATGAAATTTATTTATTTTTCTTGATATCAGTTTTCTTTTTCAGAAATAAGTGACAAACAAGGAGATTTTGGTAACCTGACTTGGAAATGTAGGAATCAAGATCTGGTTTCCCAATCTTTTAACAAATTTATCATATGCCTTGATTTTTCTCTGTCAAATTTATCATATGCCTTGATAATTCTCTTTCACAAGTTACAGGAGTAATGCCCACTGATAGCCACAAGTTTTAGGTAAGGGGGAATTTTCACTTTAGCAACAGGAAGGTCTTTTTTATTCCCTTCGGAAATCTTCGTATTCATATTCAGGCTCGTCGAGTGAACTGATGATAACCATTTTTTGTTGTTGCGATTGAGAGTCTATGTTTTCTTCTCTTCTCTTTTCTTTGATTATTTGATATGTAGTGTTTCGTTTGCTTATGAATGCTTAGTTTCATGATACTAATGGAGTATGGTCCAGTACTCATGGTTAAGTGTCCCATTTTCATTCACTAGAGCTTGTGAGCTCCACCCAAGTTTGTGATTCATTTTACAACGGAAGAATTTATGATCAGATCAGAAATGGACTAATGATTCTTCTGTTCCATATGAGTCTCTGGGATCTGTATACGAACTTGGATTTTGTAGATTGATAATTCTCCCTTTCAAGATTTTAAGGTTTCATTTCCCTTGAAAAACAGCCATGGAGGCAGCATGTCACTTACATGTTTGATGACTCCCAAGTTTTCTGGGCCTTGCCAGTCTATACAAGTCAAATTCTATCGGAGATTCGCTTATCAGGACGATATATGGCTCTTTCTGGTTGAAAACTAGTTGCAGGAACCTTGCACTTGGGTGCTGTTGCCCCTAACAAATACCGGTGCTCCCTTGGCAGTTCATAGGCCATTCCTGATAGGAGTTGCCTCCTAGTCTGCACCTAAACACCTTCACACAAGGGTTTCTCGTAACTATAGGTTGTACTGCTGAGGATGTAGTGCACTGAGCCTGTTGCCTTGGTTGGTTTATGAGAGGCTGATTCTATCTTTCTCTATTCTCATTGTGACATACACATATGTATATGCATCTAAGGCTACAAGCATCGATATATGCATGCATGTGCCACTATCCAGATTTGAATATGCAGACATTCCTTCTATGCATTGATGAATATGGATGCATGTTGCTATAACAGGGGAAGAGTGATATTTGTCTAACCATGAATGAGAACTGTGTTGGATGGGCTGCTAGAGATGCATCTGGCTTTTTGTCACCTTACAATTTTAGCCGCAGGTATGGTAGGTATTTTCTTCTATTTAGCTAGGTGTCTGTAGAGCACTGTGGTGAAGATCCTTTTGACTGACTCTGACTCTGTCCATTTAAATTTGCTGGTTGGTTAGTTATTTTTTATTGCTTTTTGCAAATGAAATCAAACAGGGACCCTGCTCCTGATGATGTTTCATTGAGGATTACTCATTGTGGGGTTTGCTATGCGGATGTCCTATGGACGAGGAACAAGCTCGGTGACTCAAAATATCCATTGGTGCCTGGGTTTGTTATCATTCCTTATGATGTCTGATTTGATCTTGACTTTCTAAGAAGCCTATCAATTTTAGAAAAGTAAAAGAGAAACTCTCAAAATTTTCAAGTGGCTTCAATATTTCCGTTTTGTCAATTTGTATCCTTAATGTTTACATGGTAGCAATAAATCTCATCTTGATGATTTTTTGGGAGATAGATTCTTGAGCTATATTCAAGTTTTCCATTTTTCTGGGCTACATTTTTCAAAATTGCCATGAGAATCCATGATAGTTTCAAAATTTTTAGATATTCATTATTCTGTTTAATCCTATTGATGCTAGTAAGATGTGTTCAATCTTGCAGGCATGAGATTGTTGGAGTTGTCAAAGAGATCGGTTCAAATGTCAGTGGTTTCAAAGCTGGTGATCATGTTGGGGTGGGAACATATGTCAACACCTGCAGGGATTGTGAATATTGTGATGCGAAATTAGAATGCTACTGCTTTAAGGGCTTAACCTTTACATTTAATGCCATTGATGTGGATGGTACAATAACAAAAGGAGGATACTCAAGCCACATTGTAGTTCATGAGAGGTATGTTATTCTTCTTACTCAGAGGAGTTGTTAGAAACTAATCTGAGTATTACTAGCATCAATAGGATTAGTTAATACCAAAGAATTTGTATGGTATAGGCCGAGAAAATAGGATTTTTTTTTGTCTTTTCATTCTCTACTCTTTCTACATTATTTAGACAACTATCATGTTTCCACCTTTTCTCTGGTTATTATTTCTGTTTACTCCCAGGCAATGTTTTTAAACTTAATTGGCTCATTCTAATAAAAGTGTAGACACATGAGGAAAAGTTTATAGAAGTTCAAGAGGGAGAGTTCTGGTGTTAAAATATGGGCATACTTCCATCGTTCAGTAATGTGAAGACGCGTCTACAAGCAGCATAGGAAGTTGTTACCATGTGCTTACACTTTCATGTTCCTTGTCTAAAAGGTTTCCCCATGGATTTCTCATAGAACTTAACCCGCAAATGAATTTTTTCACAAACTTTACTCATTACCTACTAGAGAGAGAGAGCGCTAATGCTTATCAATTAGGAGTTTTTTTTTTTTCTCTCTTTTTAGTCCTTTAGTTAACACACCGACGTCTTTTTATTGAGCTTTTAATCTTAGTTACTGATGAGTCTCAAGAAATTTCCATTAACAATACTTGCTTGTAACAAAAGTAACAAGGGAACAATACAGAAGTTGCATTTAACTTCCTCATCAATGACGAATCATACACTGCATTACGTAAATCAGTTAAACATATTCAGACTTTTAAGTACCAGAAATTGGCTATACTTGTGCCTCACAAGAGTCTGTCCTAAAATTTTTACACTGGAAATATTTTTGAATAAACTTAGATGAGCCCATAAAAAATTGTGGCTACTGGCTTTATTAATACTTACTATTGTTCAATATTGAAACTCTATTGATTTACCATAGAGAACCAGTACCAAATCAATACTTAAAACAATCTGAGCCATAGATTTGGAGATTCCCATTTCTTCAAATAGGTTAAACACATTTGTTAATTCTGGCAATCTATAATGGAAATCAATTTCTCACATCGCATGAATTGTTTGTCTGCTCAAAGTTTGATTAAAAGTAATGGACTTTGAGTGGACATTGACACTAAACCATCCATTGTTGACATTGGATGGTTGAAGTGCCTCAAGTATATCGTCTGAAGCCAAACGGGCAAGGTAGCATATGACCTCTCTCTCTCTCTCTCTCACACACACACACACACACACACAACATAGACGCATAGAGATGCGTGCCTACACGCACATACAGACACAGACGCATATGATGCACACAGATGTGGTGCTTGCATATGTATAGATGGAGTGACCTTAATCATGGGTTTTGTCATATATGATGGTCGTGGTATTAGAAGTTTGCCTACCTTGGTATTGTGAAAACAGGTATTGTTACAAAATACCGGACAACTACCCATTAGCCTCAGCTGCACCATTACTCTGTGCGGGGATCACTGTGTATTCTCCTATGATACGCCACAAGATGAATCAACCAGGAAAATCTTTGGGTGTGGTTGGCCTTGGAGGGCTTGGTCATATGGCAGTCAAGTTTGGGAAGGCTTTTGGTTTGAATGTAACAGTCTTCAGTACCTCTAAATCGAAGAAAGATCAAGCTCTAAAAGTACTTGGAGCTGACAAATTCATACTCTCATCTGACAAGGAGGAGATGGAGGTAATTGCAGTAGAGAAAGTATATAGTGTGCTCCAGCAGACTACGGATGACCACTGCTTGATTAGGTTTATAACTCTGTGATAAAATATGGACAGTGATGGAGAAAGAGTGGGACCCACCAAAATGAGACATTACACGGCAAGTGGGTCCTGCTCAAATCTCCCTCATTGTCCACCATTTTATTGGGAGGTCATGACCTGAGTGAACTATATAGCATACCTTCCCATTCTAGAAAGCCATTGACATAACATGTTTCCATATTAGTTTGGAGACGACCTTATCCTGTGTAAAGCTTGGTTTCTGATACCAGTAGAACAGTTCAATTCACTGAGTAATTCAATCACTACCTAAAAATCGGCCTACATCATTTTTCTTTTGTAAGAATAACAAAAATGCTTCCTAATGCTATATTCTGTTATTTGTATTTCACTGCAGAGTGTGGCCAGAAGTCTGGATTTCATAATTGATACAGCCTCCGGTGACCACCCATTCGATGAATACCTCTCTCTCTTAAAGACTGCTGGCACTATGGCCTTGGTTGGGTTTCCGAGTGCAATCAAAATCCATCCTGTAAGCCTCAATATGGGTAAGAGAATGGCTTTTACCATCACAACCTTTCTGAGTTTCTTTCGTTTGAGTGCTTCACTGGCAATCTTAATTGAAGCTCTTTAGGAGTACCAATTATGTATCCTGAATTATTCTTGGCAGGGATGAAGACTATATCCGGGAGTACAACGGGAGGAACTAAAGAAACGCAGGAAATGCTCGATTTTTGTGCTGCTCATCAAATATTCCCAATGACTGAAGTCATTCCGATCCAGTACATTAATGAAGCATTAGAGAGGATGACTAAAAATGATGTGCAATATCGTTTCGTGATTGATATCGAGAATTCATTAATGTAAAAGCAAATAGGAAACATTCTACCTTGGAGCTGCTCACACTTGGCTCCTTCTTTTTGGGCTGTCATGGGATTCGCGGCCATTGCTACACCTTGGATGTAAGAATGAAACCTCAAAGCCACTATGGAACTTGTCTCTCATTTAAGTTTAGAGAGAGAGAGAGGATCAAAGACTTATTAAGAGAGAGAGAGAGAGGATCAAAGACTTATTTCAAGCATCGCTGATGCTGAAAAGCGTTGATCCTCTTTACCGGAAGGAACCGAGAGAGATGGGTACTAATTTTTTATGGTTTGAGTTGGTCAGTATTTGATTCTAAGAAAGAGAGAATCCATTACTACTGATGAGTGCTTCAAGAGCGTGACTTGGACAAAACAGGTCACCGAGACCCGAGCCGGATTAGGTGGTTTTGGTCTAGCTCGCCAGTTCTACCAGGGTTTCTTGTATCGAAAATGGAAAAATTAAAACACTGGGATAGTGCTGGCAATGGGACCATGGCTTGACCCAGCCATGTTTACGCTCGAATTTGAGTCGGTCTCTAATTGAGATTAACCTAAATATCTTGCGGAATGAGTTATTTTTTTAGAAATTAGTAGAGAGAGTTGGGTTGCTTAAATTATAGGTCAAAGAATAACATATCTTTAGAGATCTGGTTCGCGTTTGAGTCTACTGGTAGCACTAGCTCAAGTACGTATATAAGACCTTAAAAAAATCTAAAAAATAAAAAAATATCCAAATAAATAAGAATAAAATAGAAAACAAAGAAATAAAATAAATAAATAATAAATAGAGAGAAACATAACACACCTGTGGAACTCAGAGTTGGGGCCCATATCTGGACCGCTGGTTGATTTATACATTTTGATGTCATATCTTGTTTTCTTAAAGCATGGCTATAAGATTTTGGATATATGAGAATTTGTTCCTAGGACTTGATCTTAATTAGGAAGAGGTTTTGAGAAGATCTAGGCTCAGGACTTTTAGCTTAAGACGCTCTAGAGATTTTTCCTAATTTTTTAAAGGCTTTCTCTAATTTCCTAGGGGTCTTAAGATTTTTTCTAATTTTCTAGGTATTTTGGAGTAATTTCTTAGGCTTTCTAGGATTTTCCTAATTTTCTAGGATTTCTAATTTTTTTGGCGGGTTTTCTTTATTACTTAAAAATTTCTGGGAATTTCCTAATTATATGCGAATTTTGCTTACTAATTTTCTATGGATTTTTTGGATATTTTTATGTGATTTTCTTGAGAATTAAAATGTGTATTTATATGTTTAGGATAGGATTAGGCATGAAATTTGTTGATCTAATCTCTTAGTTCTAGTTTTGGTTAGGACTAGGACATTTTTCAGGTTTCTCTTGATTATTTTAGATTTAAATTGCCTCAAAAATCCTATTTTAAATGGGAATTGGACCAAAATTGACCGACTTGGACCTATTTGGCCACGTGACATGTGGCCCGACTCGTTGCGTGGCACTCGGCCCGCGCACACACACAATGAGTCGTGCCCATATTGTTTCATGCGTATGTCTGATTTGGGCCATTGGAAAGTTCTCAGGGTCTACTATTGTTGAGATAGGGATTTTGATGATTTTGGGATAATTAAATTGGGTCTAAGGTGACTATGGTTCACAAGGGTATTATGGTTCGTGGGATTCAAAATCAAAATTTTTAAAAATTCCTTAAGCTAGAATTTTGAAACACACACACACACATATATATACACACATATATAGGGATTGTAAACTATGAGACCATTATTTTTTGTATAAGGAAGTCACAAGCACTTTTAACCATCGGATATGAAATCCAATAGATGAAATTGTATCACAGCATTCAAGAAATTTTGTTTTGGGCTTTATGCCCAAACAATAACACTCCTTCAACCACCCGATCTCAAATCTAGCAATCAATAATAATTGCGACTTCTTTGTATCAAAAATAAATTGTCTCATCTTATACATTTTCTATATATATATATATATATAGGGAATGGATTCTGTCAGCCTACGAGCTGACTGTTACAGTGTTAGCCAATGGCCCAGATTCAATCTAGGCTGATCTGGTGGTTACAATTTCGTTTTATATTTGAATTTTCATTTTTTTTTCCTACAAATCCAAATCACTTGAAATTTAGGCGTTCATTTTTATCATCAAGGC